AATGACCGCACCGTTGTTTAACAGACGCTCAACAACCGTGGCATTGTACGGAGGCACGTAATCCGACAACATACGCGACGCACATGTGGTACGTACGTTCTTTGTGCTGAAACAGTCTTTGATCGCGATAGGAACGCCAAATAAAGGTGCTTAAACACGACAATATAAATAAATAGAGAAAAAACAGATAAAATAAAAAAAACAATTAAACTTCTAGAATAATCTAAGGAAAAATAAGCATTGCTCTGGTTGACATCGTACAAGAAATACCTATAAAAGCGGAAATGACAATGGTACCTTAAGCTACTCTACAGAATATAACTGCTTTATGGTCTGTTCGTTCGCCGACTAGGAAACACTTTTGAGAGAGGTATAAAACCGAAGTTACAGTACAATGAAAATTTTCACTTATGATAACCAATGCCGTCTTCGATGCAATGGGATAAGAAAATGTAAAATAAAATCTGCAGACAGAACCTGCATTCATAAAGCGGTCTTGTTTGTTTCGCAACGAGGTCTTTGACAAATATTGATTAGTTCATGTCGCCAAAACGAAGACCTGCCACACAAAAGTGTTCGAAACTGCAATAATGAGAAGACATATCACAATGCCAAAATTTTGTATACTGGATGAAACCCGTGAAAAGTTCCATTAAAGCATTTTTGCAAAAAAATTGGCGTACTTACTAAAGCTATTCTTTATCATAAAAAATATCATCGGACAACACTGCTTTGCAACATGCATGACTAAGCTTCATATGATCATACATGGCACAAGAAAAGATATCGCAGCGATGCATTTCGCCATTGAAACCAGTAGATCCTTAGCATTACACACAATTACTGATAAGAAAACACGATTCAAATTCAAACGATGTTTCCACTGACAATATTTACAATATTAACATTAGGGACGGTGCGCGTACGACGTGTAAATCCTGAAGTAACAGAAAATGTTATTTTCTGACCGGCGATATCGAAAGCAAGCAATGTTGCTAGTAAGCCCCTAAAATCTGTTTATTTTTATCTGTTAATAAACCCACGGACAGTGTCATTTTAACAGGTGTCTGAATAGGCATTTATTCGACCCTGTCCAGTGATGCGGCTTTGTGTCCATGGTCTGCAGGTGCCAAAATACCATTAACGATCTTAAGTTGCTGAAATAGTCCTCTAGGCCATCAGAAGCAAGGAGACGGTTCATCTGCGTCGTGTGAATCCGAAAACAACAGAATATTTTAAAGCTCAATATCGTTCAACATCTGCCACTTCAACGGTTCAAGGTAGAACAAAACAGAAATGGTGGCGCATACTTTAACTGCACTTTTACTCCTCTATCTGATTTGAGGATATCTAATGCAATTTAGCTGGAATATCAGCGGTTGAAAGCAATTACGATCTGGCTGCTTCGTTGTGTTCAGATACTGACGAAGCAGCCAGTATCTGAACATTCATGTTCATCATGTTCATTTCTGGGTTTCAGAAATGAACATGATCCATGGTACGAAGATCGAACAAAACGGAAAAATGATGAACGTGGAATAAAGCCACTTGTCGCAAATCTTCCGAACAAAGAATGACTGCTGATCAATTGACTGTATCCTGAAAATCTTAATTGTGATGTACCAAGATGCAAATTCAGTTGGAACGACTTATGTAAAAGATCACTTTTATTTTTAGGTCAAAGAATAGTTAATTTAAAAATATTTGGAGCAGTTACAGCAACTGACTATGCTAGATGTCTTTGCGCCGGAAAAATTATAAGAATTATGATACAATGATTGCGGTTATTAGGAGCTACGATGACTGAAAATGGACGGCGACTTGTCTGTAACGTCAGTGTGTCAATATTGTGCAAAACTATTCTTCATTATATATGCCTGCCGATCAATCTGTTGGTATGGTTTGGTATGACCCAACAAAATGGTATGGTTCTGGCCTATACGCTGCACATGTCAAATGTCACTGAGCCACCGCCTGCTCAAATAGCCCTTACAATAAGAAAGGGAACGACGAGACTGCGTTGTACGAACCCAGAAAATGACAAGAGACTGCTATTATTATTGGTGGTATCGACAACTACCAGTCTGCTAGCAAGCCCGTAAAGCCGGGGTCGATTTTTCATTAATGCACTGTTTATCCGTTTGGAACATCTTAAAAGAAACTGCATATATACGATAATTGCATGTAGCAAATAACACAAATACTGCCTAGGTAAATCTAGACAAAATTAACAGCAGACACTTCTTAATATTAATTGTTTAAAACAGTAAATCGTGTAACTGGTCTGAAAGAGTGCAGCAATGATGAATAATTGAACGCAATACTCGAGAGTGATGGACAGGCACTTAACTGAATTACATCAATAAGGTGATATTCTAAATTTAAATGGATTACGACATCAATATAAATCTATGGAGAGCGCTACAATGTCACTTATTTCAGGAAATAATCATCTGAGTTTCCTGGGGGTATTATTTTTAGACAATAATTAATTTTCTAAAATGATCCGCAGCACTTAAACGGGTAAGTACTGTCGTCCGAGCAACTTTACAGTTTACTGAAATAAAAACTTATTTTTAATCTGTACTTAGAGTAAATAAAAACAGAATGATGATTGCTCTATCAGCGTCTGATTCGGAGCAAGATCCGTTCGTCGTGTAAAATAAATTGTCTTCTGAATAATAAAGGAATCCTGCCACAATGGGATATCCTTGGGGTAGTGCATCGCCTCAACTGCACTTGTGGCGACACCAACATTGGAAAAAATCTAAGAGAACTCAAAAATAGGATATTGGAACATATGGCCTGCAGAAGCAGAGCTGAAGATAAAGGATCAGCGGTAGCAGATCATAGTGGTAATAGAAGATAATTCGTGAAGAGGGAAACAACAAAATGTCAGCAACAAATGAATGGATGAGAAAAGACGTACACGATTAACCGAGCTTAGTTACAGCTGCTGTACCTAACCATGTTTTTCAATGTGCTTAATATTACAATATACATTTTCAATGGTACCATCTGACATAACTGCATCAGTCGCACCTTTCAATCTTCGCCATGAACTGAGTTTCAGAAAGGCTCGTTATCCCAACGGGGAGATAAATTCAACCTTGGCCTTTTCTGCAGGTGGTTCACCACCATGGAATGAAGATCGTTGCAGATCTTGAGTGGTCGTGCACTCGTCAATCCGTTCTAATTTAACTGCAAATTAAAAAAGCGCATTTATTTCAATAAATATATATATCTAATTTCAAATCATTTCTCCGTTCCGCTTGATAGCTAAATAACTTGATGTCGGTTTCACTCCAACTGCAGATTTAATTCGTCAAGCACGGTTTGAATCTCCTGTCTGTTTTGATTACGAATCAACATTCTCAGTGTAAATTATTCCTCATAAATTATGGGTAGGTGCCTAAAGAACATTGCGATATGGAAATAGTGAACACAGTTGTTCTCCAGTCACTCAAATGCGGACATCATCTGCAACTGATAAACCAAATTTTTCACTACCCTTAAAGATTTAGAATGATATACCGTTTCTGCAGTTCGCTGAATCTTGTATGAAATTATCCACTGCATGTTCGGCTCTTTCGGTTATGAATATGTTCAGTAGCCGCAGTTTTGAGCAAAGAGACGCAGCCCTTCTCAGTTCCTGAACAGCCGAATCCATTGGATGAACAACCTAATGACTTAAGTCAGAAGACAGCTTTTATGGCAAATAAAAAAACCTCGGTGTCATAAGTACGGTGCAACAAATTTCAATGGATAAAACTTTTATTGCAGAATATGAACAATGCTACATAGAGTAAACCGCGATCGACCACGATATTTAGTGAACAACGGAATATTTAACATAATCATAGAGTTTAATCTGAAATTTTACATGTGAAAATTACAAACAAATTCCCACAAGAGTTTCAAAACAATTAGACGATAACGGAAACCAATAAACCATTGCACAACTGCGGTTTACAAAGAAACAGAAATTTTTCTACAAAATTCATCGATAACTTCTTTACGGTAGGTTTCCAGTTCTCCACTGAAATGACAAATCCTAACATCTTTGTTTCGATAGCCAGCGGCAAATTCCCTAGAATTTCGGTGACAGAACTGTAACGTTTCAATAGGGATATCATGGCCCTTCGCTAAGCTAGATTGGGCAAACTGCTGTCCTTGAATAATATCGAAAAACGTCATCTGACCACTCGAATATGACATTATTATACAATGGGGCCAAGCTGACAAAACAAAAGTCTGCAATGGAGCAAGATCAACGGCGAACACACGCAAAGGCTTCGACGAAAAAATGCTGCATATCTTCAGCTTAAGATCGACTCCGGACGTGACAAAGGCGCTATCCAACAGGGGCCATCGGATAACGTCAATAATTGGGCCAACATGCGGTTCATGCACCAATTTCACCGGGTCGTAAAACTCTGACTCGTCCTTGTCCGTCATGGCCAATGTCCGTTTCCTATTGCTGGTCACCATACAACTGAATAAGCCTCCCGTTTCGGTAGCGGCAACGAAAGTTCCAGGATACGAATCAAAGAAGCGGAGCTGGGAAACACCAGTTTTCAAATACTTGGTCTGTTTACCACTCAGCAACGGGGGAAGATCAGAGACATATATGCAAAACTGTTTGGATATCGAAAGGCTACGTCTCTCTTGCGAGAACGACCACACACAGATGCGTCCATCGGAGGAACATGTTACTGGGCTGATCTCTGAACCAAAAATGTACCACTGTAGATCAGTTAGAAATGGCTGGCACGTTTCACTTGTAGAACAAACAACTGAGCCTTCCTGCAACAAGTTCCGTACTTCTATCTTACCCAAAAAGTTACCAATGAACAGAAGATTTTGAGCTGATGGATGGAAAGACAGGCAGCGACAGCAGAAACCATCGAAGACATATGCCGGCCGAGACAGGACGCTCGTCAACCGTCTTTGAGACTTCCAAACGGCAACCAAGCTTTCATGAAAGCACCTAAACGACAAAAAATGTCAGACGATTATGCAGTGACTATGAATATTCATTAGGAATATCAATTATTAAAAATGTTGCTGTTTGTTGTGATCGACACCTGCATCAAAGTGCATAAGCTGAAGATCTCTGATTTATTACGCTTGCAGTTTTCGAAGCATTTCAACACTTTCGATCGCAGTTTTCGACACCGGTAATCGAATTTAAAAAGAAAAATTCTACTCCGAACCCAGATTGGCCTCTATATTTCATATCGACTTTGTGCTTAAACAATGTCGCGCTTCGGTTCATAACAATCTACTATCGAAAACGTCGAAAACGTATTATCTGCTTTCAATAAATGTAATTCTGCATTCAACTTGAGCAGATAATTACTCATCTAGCTGGAATGAATAACAGACTTATCATGCAATTTTGGACATTTATCTTGACTGGCAAAAATTCATGGAAGCTAAACAATTTCCATTCACAACTGCCCAATGAAGGTGCTAACACTCTGTAGACTATTGTGCTCAAACTGAACTTCCAGTCTAACTTTACATGAAACTTGGAGAAACTGCTTTGGAGCAGTCGCAAATTCAGAATAAAAAATTTTTTAACTGGAAACGTTCGTTAAACAGCTCTTGAAGAGTTTCGATCTTCCTTACGTAGACTTGAGATTTGCTTTATTATCATAATTTCCATATCATA